AACTCAAAAGTTTTCTTAATTATGATTTAACACTCAAAACTTTTATAACTTATATTATGTTTAATTAGCATTTAGTGAAAAATTTACTATAAAAAGGTCAATCTTTTGTGTTTTTTGTGTTATATAAAATCTTAAATGTAAGAAGGATTTGAAGATATTGTGATTCAAAAGTTTTCATATAGTTGAAGCATTCACGATCCAAATATGATGATTTGAAGAAATGGGTTATGTCGCATCGATGGTATGATTTTTTCTTTCAACGAAAACAAATGAAGTTTTTCTATTCTTTCTTTATATTCAGTTTCTCATTTAATCTTTATATGTGATTTGTATGTATTACTCAATCTTGAATGTGACTCTTCAAACATCAATGTTTTGCTTGGAATATCTTTCTGATTCTTCTTTTTCAAGAAAAATATTTTGATTGCAGGTTATTAAAGAATTGTCATCAAGTTTCTATGGTTGAATGGTATTAAATGAAGAAAGAAGATTCATAAAATGGATATAAGTTTTTTTGTTTGAGCAAAGTTGACGATTGTTAATTTTTTCTTTTGATTTAAATGTATGTTTATGTAACATCTTTATTTATATATCCAACCACCCAATGCTCTTATTTATTTGATTGTAGTTTTTCTATTTTGATTATGTTTATTTCTATTATTTTTTTGTTGGGTTATCCTACACAACATATTTAAAAGACAATATTTAAAAGATAACATAATTTTGAACATTTGATATGTAATTATGATAGACTTATCATGATATGTTCTTCATATCAAAGTAATTTATCCATATTACTACGACAAGAATTACATAAGAGATTTACGAAAATATATATATTATATGTGATTTGTTTAACATGTATATGCACCTATGTATGTTATAAATTTATAATTAAATATCTTTATGTTTAATAATTGAAGGGATTAAAATGATGCATCAAAACCAATTATTTAGACGAATATAATAATAATAAATAAGTTTTCTAATTTATGTATATTTATTAGTTACAACTCAAGAGTTTTTAACTTATGATTATTAATTAGTAATCACTAATAACTTTTTATTTTTCCTTTCTTTTATAAGGTTGTAAAGTTTTGCTCATTAAAAACATTAATGTATTTGAAGAGATTTGTGATTTAAATATGAAGATTAACTAAATGTTATAATAGATGTTTTAGTGTTTTTTATGTTATTAAAAATTATAGTGTTTATTTTTCATATTTTTTTATTATTCGTTGTATATATATCTTTTTTAATACAAATGTTATAATAGATGCTTTTCTATTTTTATGTTATTAAAATTTCCAATTCATATTTTTGTTCATACGTTTTGTTACCCGTTATATTATCATTCATTTGATATATAATTTACACAATTTTAAACGGTTTATAAAATTATCAAATAATTGTATATATCACAATGACTTAAAAATTAAATTATAATGTTTAATAAAACTAATATGTTAACTATATGTTTGCTTTACTACTAATATTTTGTTTCAAAGTAGAAATATTAAATAATAATTTGGTAAAAGTTATTATTTTAACTATATTATTCTATTCCCGTGCAACGCGCGTGTAAGAAGAATTTGAAGATATTGTGATTCAAAAGTTTTTATATAGTTGAAGCATTTACGATCCAAATATGATGATTTGAAGAAATGAGTTATGTCGCATCGATGGTAACTGTAATATGATTTTTTCTTTCAACCAAAACAAATGAAGTTTTTCTATTCTTTCTTTATATTCAGTTTCTCATTTAATCTTTATATGTGATTTGTGTGTATTACTTAATCTTGAATGTGACTCTCCAAACATCAATGTTTTGTTTGGAATATCTTTCTGATTCTTCTTTTTCAAGAAAAATATTTTAATTACAGGTTAGTGAAGAATTGTCATTAAGCTTCTAATAAAAAAGTTCAAAGAATACCCACAAAACACGTCCTAAATATTATGAAAAATTAAAGTAGCCAACGAAAAATGAAGGAACTCTAAGTTTTTGCAGAATAATGAGGCAATAAAACCATTTGTAATTCAGTCAAAATTTTCTAAAATATATCGTCCACATCACCATATGTACAAAAAGTCAAATTTTAACGAAGTTGGTAATAATATAATATAATAATAATAATAAAGGTTTATTCTTTCGAGATTCGAGGAGTGAAGAGTGAAGATGTGAAGGCCTGGAGGGGCAAGCCGCAAGCCTGTGGATGAATCATGCGGTGTATCACACAAAACGCAAACTGCAAAGTTATATAAATACACCTTGTTCTTTTAAAGTATTACAAAGAAGGACCCTGTTGTTTCATTGTACCTCCACAAAAATAATCCAATCTATATAATACCTAAATTAAGAAAGATGCACTTCATGATGTAATTCATGAAATGATATATTAGTAAAATAGTCTCTAAATCATTTTGAAAACAATAATTCTTTTTTTTTTCAAGTCAAACTTCTCTCTATATTCAAGGGATTTACGATTGTACAACGAAGTCTCATATTCGGCGATATTCACATTGATTTTGGAATAACCTATCATATGCGGCATCTGTTGCTGTTCACAAGTACAAGATGATGATCAGCAATAAGAATTACCAGATTATCATAAATTATTTGACGGAGACGACATTGGTCAATCATATCTTTCTTCAAATGGGATGGGTGTACTCACGAGTTTTAAGTTAAATGGCAAAATAACTCGATTGACATGGATCATGTACAAAAAAATTAAAAGAAAAAACAAAATGATTTCAAAAGAGACAATTTGGGTTTGGATAAATAGCACAAAAAACACTCAGTTTACACTAAAATTCTAATTTGACACTGTGTTTTTTTTGTTTTAAATTTGACATTGTGTTTTCCAATATGTTACAATTCTGACCACTTGACGGGTCAACCAGGTTACATGCTGACGTGGCATGCTAACATGATATGTTGACGTGTCAAAATTGAATTTTTTTTCCCACAAAAAAACTAAGTTTTCACTTTTTTCAATTTTGACACCAAGTTTAATTTTTTCTTTCAATTTTGACACCAAGTTTAATTTTTTCTTTCAATTTTGACACTATGTTTTTTTGTTCCAAATCGAACATCATTTATCAATTTTTTTTTCAATTTTACCAATTTCCATTTGAAAACGTATAAATATATTTTTTTTATTACATTTTAAATCGTATAAATATATTTTGTTCGTTTAAAAACCACATTTTTATTTAAATATAAGGTGTTTTTTTTACATTCAAAGCATAATGTATAAATATGCATTACTTATATCATGAGAATCAAACTAACCATAATTTCTAATAAGATGTAAAAATTTCACGGGTTGCAAACTTGACATCCAGATTTTTGATCGACTACACGCCTCCAAACCTCCAAACTCATTTTAAAGTTGCGTATTTAATATAAAATACGGTTTTTATATAACTAATACATATTTATAGATAAAATTATGGTTTGAATGTAAAAAAACCTTGTATTTATACAAAACTATGGTTTTTAATTGAAAAAAAACGTATTTATACGGTTTAAATGTATTAAAAAAATATTTATACAGTTTCAAATAGAAAATTGTCAACATTGAACAAAATTGGAAAAAAAAATGTTCGATTTAGAATAAAAAAACATAGTGTCAAAATTGAAAAAAAAATTAACTTGGTGTCAAAATCGAAAAAAGTGAAAACTTAGTGTTTTTTGTGGAAAACAAAATTCAATTTTGACACGTCAGCATATCATGTCAGCATGTCACGTCATCGAAATTGACACGGCATCATGCCACGTCCGCATGTAATATGGTTGACCGGTCAAGTGGTCAGAATTGTAACAAATTGGAAAACACAGTGTCAAATTTGAGACAAAAAAAACACAGTGTCAAATTAGAATCTTGGTATAAACTGAGTGTCTTTTGTGTTATTTATCCTTTGGGTTTTTGTATATAAAATAAAATAACAAACTGATACATCAACAATAAGGTCGTACATTGTATAATTTTAATTAACTAGCTATCCTAGAGCAATGCATCGATCAGATCGATGCTATTGAGAGATTTCATGTATAATCATGTAATATATTTTTATCGTTTTTTATTTATATCGATAATTTTGAGATTTCATATAAAATCATGTAATATATTATTATTATTATATTTTTTTTTACAAAGTAGAATATACTTTAAAGGTTTAGATAAATATAGTACATAAATTTTAGACATATTACCTATATGAAAATGAAAATTATAAATAAGTTCATGTTTGGCATCACAAAATATAATTTGCTTAAAACCTAAATTAATAAACTAGGTAACTAAAATTTTATATAACATACTTATATACTTTTTTTATGGAAATATATAAATAAAAATATTTGTAAGACATCTCCAATCTAACATCAAATCTCATATTTTACTCCATTTTGGTGGAGAGTCATCTCAAACACCATCTCATTTTCAGTACCATTTTGGTGTAAATGAATAATATAATACCTATACCATTCATTTACTCCAAAATATATAAAACTTTCATAAGTCATTTTTAGACCAACAACTCTAATATTTATTCACTTCTGGTTTATAAAAATGATATGTGTATCCTAAATATTATAATTATTTTGATACAATATTATGTTATATATTAAATTGATATTAATTAATATAAAATTTATCTTAATGTTTTGAATTTATTTAAAATTTTAAATATTTTAAAATTGTAAAACACAGTAATATATTTAAATACTTTAAAATATTAAAACACAAAAATATGTGTTATAAATATAACTTTTGTATTTAATAAATGTTCGTTTCGATAAAAAATATATCTAATTAAAATTAATAATATATAAACATTTAATTTGGTTATAATTTTTATAATAATATATTTTGTAAAAACTTTATATAAAGTAATATAAGTAGATATGTAAAGAATAAATAAGTTGAGGGTGTTTTCTGAAAATTTATATATGTTAAAAATAGTGAATGATGAAGGGTTGGAAAATAGGAAAGCCCAGTTGGGGTCGGCCGGTTACGCCCTTTTTCCAGACTCTGTATAAATAAGGCATATTCGATCAATTCGATACCAACAACCAAACCCTAACCCTAATCTCTCCACCAGCGAATTGCTTTTCTCTTTTTCCCAAAAGTTTCTCTCAAATTATCCCTGGGAAATTCCAATTGTGAATGGTGGAAATCTCGATTCATTGGTGGATGATCTCCCCCCTTCCCTCGAGGGGGATCTCTTCTGTTTCCACCGCTTTCTCCTTCGGATCTTGCAAGGAAGGCTGGTACTACCGCTGCATCGGCGTCGACCCGTGAGATCGGAATCTGCTTTCGTTAACGCCGCCGTCTAATCACCGTCGTCACGTTTTTTCTGATTGAATTCGATTTTACTTGATTGTTTTGTTCTTTCTATTTCCATATAAAGGATATTCAGAGGAAAATTTTTAATTGTTTATTCGAAGAAAATGTTGCTTACGAAGCATAAGAAAAATCAGGCCGCCAAGGGCGGCGGGAATCGGCTTTTGATCAGCGTCACCGTCGTTGGAAGCGCTGGTCCAATCCGTTTTGTTGTTAACGAAGAAGAGCTCGTGGCTTCCGTAACCGACACCGCTCTTAAATCCTACGCTCGCGAAGGCCGTCTCCCCGTTCTCGGTTCTAATCTCAATGATTTCGTACTCTATTGTCCCATCTCCGGTACCGAAGGTAAACTTCCACATATTGTTTCAATCGTTGAATCAATTGGATTAAATTCAAGAGTGTAATGTATTTCATGTTTTCGTTATCTCAGCCTTGAGTCCATGGGACATGATTGGGTCATTTGGAGTGAGGAACTTCATGCTGTGCAAAAAACCTCAGAAGGAAGAGAAGGGTGGCGGCGATGGGAAACCGGTGGCTGTGGGAATAACAAGAAAAAGCTCTGGCAGCTGGAAAGCATGGTTCAATAAATCACTCAATCTCAAAGTTTCTTCCCATTGAATTTACAACCGGAATCAGATAATTTCATGATCTCTTTACGATCTTGAATTTTCGTTCTTTCTTACAATTGAAAGTTCTGCAGTTCTTCAATTACTCCGCCCTGGCAGGGGTTTCAAATGCTCTGGAATTATTGATTGTTGTTAGATAATGACGAATTTCAGATTGAAATTGATTTGTGGTTAGGGTTTTGTTTGTTTTTCAAACCAATTGTCAATTTCATATATTTGCTTCTTTATTTTAATAATTGTTTTTTTGTCTTGCATTAAAGGACATGATACCGTACTCATATATGCAATTTTAATGATGTCATAGTCGTCGACTTTTTGAACCGATTGATGTGTTCTTCGCTGTCAAAAAACGATTCTTATGGCGATAACTATGTTTAAATTTGATTAATCTATCTCTTGTGATATTTTAAACCGTTAAAAAAGTTTTTTCAGAAAAATGTTTTAGATAAAATTTGTCGATTTTCTAGATTATAGAGTAATTTACAAACTTTGTGGTTGGCGTTAATTTTAAATTGATATGGATGACAGGATGAGTCTTTTTAAATCAACTCCATTAGGACCATTAAGGTCGTTCATTTAGAACAATGAGACTCATGTAAAATATAGTGTTTTAAAATTGTAAGTGGATTTATTATGATTTAATTAAGTATTTGGGTAATATATATATATATATATATATATTATATATATATATATATGGAAAAGTGAATATACCCTTAAGGGTATATAAGGTTAGGTACCCATTCCTCAATACTACGTAGTTTTATCACTTTGTTTAATTTTTCTGAAAAAAAAAACAATTTCCTTATATGTGTTTCCCTTTTCACTGATAATACCGAAACTTCATTCTCTTTGATTTTCTACGTCATGATCGGCATACTATCACAAAAAACGATTTCAAATAAATCGATTATCAGAATTCCTTGATCGGAGGCGTCCTTGATCGACTGGTTGTGAAAGAAAAACTAAATTGAAAACTAAATTCAGATACTATCACAAAAAACGATTTCAAATAAATCGATTATCAGAATTTCTTGATCGGATGCGTCCTTGATCGACTTCAAGGACTGGTTGTGAAAGAAAAACTAAATTGAGATACTATCACAAAAACGATTTCAAATAAATCGGATTCAAATAAATCAGAATTCACAGGCTTGATTCACAGAAACTAACGAGAGTGTGGCTGCTTCATACATACAAAAATCGTGATTCCTTTAGAGCTCTTCCAAGTAATTTTTTTATAACTTTTTATCACTCAATCATATATTCAATTTGTTTGTACGTCCAGTTTTAGGAGTTTTGCTTATCACAAAACTAGTTGCTTCTTGTACCCAAGAAACATAGTTCCACAATGTTTGTCACTATTTTCATAGGGAAAACAATTGTTCTCAAATAGCAAAAACTACGTATTATGAACATGCTGGAAAAAATTGCCCGCACCAGCTAGTTTTGGTTACAATTCTATCAACCATAGTTACAACAAGTGTAGGAATCTTGTTATGTTATAATGTGTTAATGTGTTAGAGCCCAAGAGATGTCATTATGAAGTACCGGCGAATTTTTATGTTTTATGATGAACTTATACATGTTAATTTGATAATTGTAGTTCTTTGTTCATTTTATATGCATTTATTGGGAAAGGAAAAAATCATTTTTATAGAGTATTTTGATGCTTAACAATTTTCGAATGAAAATTGTTGATTATTTATAATTTTTGTGTTTAAAATTGAATGCTGGTTGTTCTTATGGGTTAAAACTGAAAAATCAATTCTATTATGGGTAAAAACTGAAAAGTAGGCTATGCTATTATGGATTAAAAATGAAAATATGATACTATTGTGGGTGAAAAACAAAAATATGATGTTATTGTGGTTGAAAACGAAAATATGATGCTATTGCGAGTAAATAATGAAAATATGTTGCTATTGTGGGTGAAAAACAAAATTATGTTGCTATTGTGGGTTGAAAACGAAAGCATGTTGTCTTTTTGGGTTAAAAATGTAACTTTTCTGCAATTGTGGGTTAAAATGTAACTTTTTTGCAATTGTGGGTTAAAAACGAAAACATGCTGTCTTTTTGGGTTAAAAATGTAACTTTTCTGTAATTGTGGGTAAAAAAGAAAGTATGGTGTCATTTTGGGTTAAAAATGTAACTTTTCTGCAACTGTGGGTTAAAAATGAAAGCATGTTGTCTTTTGGGTTAAAAATGTAACTTTTATGTAATTGTGGGTAATAAAGAAAGTATGGTGTCATTTTGGGTTAAAAATGTAATTTTTTATGCAATTGTGGGTTAAAAACGAAAGTATGCTAATATTTTGTGAAAAATGGAACTATGATGCTATTTGGTGAAAATAAAATAAAGTATGATGGTTTTTCACATTGTTGACAATTTTGCCCTTGTCCTAAAAATGGCAAGAACAAACCTCAAGAACAAGCCTCGCGAACTTAATGATGGGGAAGTTTAATTCACATAAACAATACAACCAAAAGCGAAAAATCTCATTTGACAAATTTTAATTAAATTGATAAGTACATTTATATTTCGGATAAATATGAAAAGTGGGTTGTTACTTCAGCTCAATCAAAAAAAAATAATACTTATGTTTTATACATTTTCTATCAACGTGTACATTGTCTATTCATTGTACAACAACACACACTTTTTCTAGAGTTCCTATAATTCTTCCAACACTTCATCTTTTCAGTCCATAGCAGAATGAAGGCAACACAAGTTGTTGATTTCCCATCACTGTACATCCATTCATCATTTTCTGGGATTGTTAGCAACTCATCAAAGGACATGCCTTGTTTTTCTGTCTCTTCAAGAATTCCATACAAATCCAAACCATGTTAAATATACCAATTTTCAAAAACTTTTCACATTATCAATGTACTTTTTACCTTTGTCTCTTCACGGACATCAGGATGAACATAAGCATATACCATCCGTCATGTAACACGTCCCCCGAGAATTTGGAATAGAGTTCATAGTAGAATAACGTAAGCCCAAATACAATGTTCTTGTATACGAAATACAGAATCTGCAGCAATACACGATCGATTTTTTGACTCAGATGAAACTGCTTCATATCATGCCTAAGCAAACTACAAGCAAATCTAACCCAAAAATTACAGTCAAGTATTTGGATACTCTAACTGGGTCAAGTTAATCCATCTCCGATTCGGGTCCACGGATGTGGAATTATGGGTCGGAACTAGTGCTTTCCTATCGCAAAGATTACTGAATTCATCCATCAAACAAATTGTTGTATGACCAGCAAATGAGCCAGTGACCCACTTCTCCAATGTTTCAAAGCCACCTCATCTTCCACGAATCTTTGAAACAGCTAAAAGATCACCAGAATGGACATCAACCAGATTGATAACGGTCATCCATGGCTTAGACATCTTCTCAAAAGCCTTGAAAACTGCATCCATTGATTCGGGCATTTCATCGAGCACCTTATGTGCACTGTGCACATCGTATCCTCTTCCCCTGTAAGAAAGATGGAATTAGACATCCCCAATTATACATAATGATGATTTGGAGATACATTCTTAAACCAATCCATTATTTCAAACCAATTTAGAAATGATGTAAAGAGTAAAGACCCAGTTCACTGAATCAAGAAACTAATCAACTCAACTGATCAGACTATAAATTGAAGATGAATAGAAGAAATAATACATAAAGAATGGGAATTTGAAGATGGCAAAGTGTTTTATTAACCGAGAATATACCAAATTCCCCAAGTTTGTTGTCGATTTGCTGCGTTGTTGCGACGGAGTAGAGGCTGGGGGGCTGTCTGCCTCGTCTCGCCGGGCCTCAACATGCCTTGCATCGCAGGTGAGATAGTCGGCGAACAAGGGAAGGGCTTCAACTGTAAACAACGACGGCTGCCAAGATATGTGAATGTCAACGTTAGTGTTGGAAGAGACGAAGATGATGTGAAATCAGAAACATATTTTTGTGTTTGATGAAGTCTGTGGATTATGGAAATTGTTTTTTTTTTTCAGAAAAATTAAACCAAGTGATAAAACTACGTAGTATTGAGGAATGGGTACCTAACCTTATATACCCTTAGGGTATATTCACTTTTTCTGGGAAAAGTGAATATACCCTTAAGGGTACCTAAGGTTGTGTACCCTGATTATTAAAACTACGTAGTTTTGATTATTGGGTTAATTTTCTAAATAAAACAAATCCTTAAAAAAAGTACGTAGTTTCCTTACGTGATCACATTCCTGATTCGTTCCATATTCGAGAAATCGGATTCAACTAAAATCGAATGATACAATATGGAATCGCAATTCAGGGAGCTGAAAAAAAATTACAACGAATTGAAATCAAAAAAATTGCAATCGACAAGGAATCGACTGCTTCCCCTGATTTTTTCATTCAACGACTTCAAAGTATGTGACTTTCCTTGATTCTAATCGTTTGTTTTTTATATCAACTAATTATGATGTTTCAAGATTTGTATTTTTTGTTATTAATTGGAATCGTTTGCAATTCATACATATATATTAAGATTACAAAGTTATTTGTAGTCCTTAATTTCAATTTTTTGGTCCTGTGTGCGTGCGGTATGCAATGCTGCGTTTTTTTTTTTTGCTGAAGACATATACCTCGTTGCTAAACACAGTTTCATTGTTTATAGCTAGTTTAGGCAATTCATTATTCTAAAGAGCTAACTTCATGGTGCCATCTAAAGTCTATATTTTGGGGTAACTTGGATGAACTTGATCCAACTTATTGCAAACAATGAAAATTTGATAATAAAAAGTAACAAATGAATTGAATATGAAGTCATCGGTTGTAATGTATTTTAACGAATGATTTTTTATGTTCCGAGTTGTAATGTATTTTAATGAATGGTTTTTTTCTGCTCCGATTCCATGGAAGCCAATTAAGGTAAATCATACAAATTGTAATTCACATGAATTCATACAAATTGAAATTGACAAGAATTCATACAAATTGCAATTGTTTGTATTTTTTTTATGTATAATGTTTCCATTATATTCAATATAAAACAATTTGGTGTTAATCTTTTATTTGGAAATATGCATCGTTGTCTATTGCAGACCACAATGAGTGAAGCCGAAGCAACTAATCAAGCTATAGAACCATATATAACCGAAGATAGTGACACAAATGATTACTTGGAAGCAACATATGAATGTGAAAAAACAAATAGTATCGGTGAGAACATTGAATTTGACGAAGAGAAGTTAACAAAGAAAGTATACTTGGAAAGGTTTTTGATACACCCGATGATGCCTATACCTTTTATATTGATTATTCATTTTTACATGGCTTTGGTATACGTAGAGATGACACAATTAAAAATCCTAAAACAAATGAGCCTTTTCGGAAGATATATGTATGCAACAAAGAAGGTTTCAAAAGGATGGACAAAAATGCTTCAAGTGAAAATGAGAAAAAACGTCGTAGAGATGTTAGAACCGGATGTCAAGCAAAGCTTCGAATAACAAGACAGGAGGATGGGAAATGGTTGGTGGACTCGTTTAATGACACACACAATCACGATTTGACCATGACACCTACAAAGGTGATGAAGCATCGATCTCATAGCAGTTTCCACCGTTCAATAGAAAGTAAATCTTTTATGGTGCAATTTGGTCAAGCAGGGTTGAAACCTTCTCAGATTAAAAAGGCTGTTAATACAATGAAAACCTCAAATATAGCTGATGTTACTTCAAAGTAATGTGTTGATGTCTTATCTGAGCAACGAAAACAACATAAAGGAAAGGAGTTCTATGGACTTATAAAACATTTTCAAGATAAAACATTAGTTGATAGTGACTAGTATTTTGTCGTGGATTTGTTGATGATGGGTATCCTAGAAATATCTTTTGGGCTGATGGTAGATCAAGAGATGCTTATACAAAATTCAGAGATGTTGTTGTGTTTGATGTCACTTATATGACTAACAAGTTCAAGATGCCTTTTGCTCCCTTTACTGGGGTGAATCATCATGGGCATTCTATACTTTTTGGTGGAGCATTGCTTGAAAATGAAAAGGAAGAGACATTTGAATGGTTATTTAAACATTTCCTCAAATGTATGTTTAACAAGTATCCGAAGGCAATTATAACAGATCAAGACAAAGCAATGGGAAATGCAATAAAAAAAGTGTTTCCGAAGACTCGACATCGTTTTTGTTCATGGCATATCATGAAGCATGAAACCAAGCACCTTCGATCGTATGTTTCCCGTTACAGTGATTTTCAAGAAACGCACAAACAATGGATAAATAGCGACACCATTGAACAATTTGAAGCAACATGGGAGGTTATGCGTAGTAAGTATGAACTGGAAAGCAATTGTTGGATTAGTGACATGTATAACCAACGTATACATTGGGCTAAACCCTTCTTGAAAGATACTTTCTTTGCTGGTATGACAACAACCCGGACGAAGTGAGAGCATCAATTCATTTTTTGATGGATTTGTTAATTCGAGGACCATGTTGAATGAATTTGTTGTACAATACGGCAAAGCAGTTGAGTCTCGAAGGGCCGCCGAAGAAGATGAAGACTTTAAGACTATGAACTCGAGGTCGGTTCTTTCTTCAATGCATCCAATCGAAGCAAAAACAGGTCAATGTTATACTAGAAAGATGTTTGATACTTTCAAAAAAGAATGGACCGAAGCTATTACCAATTTGACTCATGAGACTATAGGAAAAACTACAGAAGAAAGCACATACCGAGTTAGGCAATTGGATGTTGATAAAAAATATTGGCGCATTGTTACCTTTCGTTCTTTGGATCAAGTCAGCGTCACATGTTCCTGTGCTAAGTATGAGACAAATGTGATTTTATGTAAACATAGCCTATATGTGATGAAGAAGAAGCATGTTAAAGAACTCCCGAGTCACTATATTTTACCACGATGGACCCTTAATGCTAGGTACAAACTGGGTAGTGATAGTATCGGAATCGGAGAAATGAATAATGAAAATGGAGTTAGTGCCTACACACTATGGTGTGTCCGTTCAAATTTTACAAAACTAATTGAACAAGCTAGAGACTCCCCTTCAGAGATACAAAAAGTCAATACGTTATTGATAAGTCTTTTAGATGATCAAACAAATCGAAAGAAATCTATGTCTTTGGAGAATGCATCTCAAGGTTCTTGTATGGGAGCTTCGCAAATAGATATGATGCCATAGTTATCTGTCCGTGATCCTCTTGGTCCAACTACTACAAAAGGGCGTCCTAAAATTGCTAGTAGAATCAAGTCTTCTTTAGAAGCCCCCAAAAAAACGAACATGCTCTTACTGTCAAGGATTGGGCCATTACGCTACTAGTTGTTTAAAAAGAAAGTTTCTTATTATATTAATTTAATATTCATGATTTACAACTCTAACAATTATATTAACAATTATTTATTTTTTTCATGGATCAGGCGGATGAATCATTGCAAGATACATAATGATGAGACATGTTGTTACTGTAAGCAAAAGAAAAAGTAGATACTTCATGACATTCTTTTTTTGGTTAACTACACCTTTTCCATGTTTTACACACAATTGATATGTGAATATTATAGAAGTTATTGATGTTTCTTAACAATTTTAATGTTTTTGAATGAAATTTCTTGATTGTTTATGATTTGTGTGTTTATAACTGAAATTTGGCTGCCACTATCTGTTTATAACGAAAGTATGAGGGTATTTTGTGAAAAAATGAAAGTATGATGGTATTTGGTGAAAAAAACGAAAGTATGAAGTATGATGTTATTTGGTGAAATAAACGAAAGGATGAGGGTATTTTGTGAAAAAAAAGAAAGTATGAGAGTATTTTGTAAAAAAACGAAAATTTTAGGGTATTTTGTGAAAAAAAAAATAATACGAGGGTATTTTGTGAAAAAACAAAAGTATTAGGGTATTTTGTGAAAAAAAACAAAAGTATGAGAGTATTTTGTGAAAAAACGAAAATTTTAGGGTATTTTGTGAAAAAAAACATAGTACGAGGGTATTTTGTGAAAAAACAAAAGTATTAGGGTATTTTGTGAAAAAAACAAAAGTATGAGAGTATTTTGTGAAAAAACAAAAATTTTAGGGTATTTTGTGAAAAAAAACATAGTACGAGGGTATTTTGTGAAAAAACAAAAGTATTAGGGTATTTTGTGAAAAAAACAAAAGTATGAGAGTATTTTGTGAAAAAAAACATAGTACGAGGGTATTTTGTGAAAAAACAAAAGTATTAGGGTGTTTTGTGAAAAAACTAAAGTATGTTGTCATTTTGGGCTAAAAATGTAAATTTGCTGCAATTACGGGTTAAAAACGAAAGTATGCTGTCATTTTGGGTTAAAATGTAAATTTGCTGCAATTACAGGTTAAAAACGGAAGTATGCTGTCATTTTGGGTTAAAAATCTAAATTTGCTGCAATTATGGGTTAAAAACGAAAGTATGTTGTCATTTTGGGCTAAAAATGTAAATTTGCTGCAATTACGGGTTAAAAACGAAAGTATGTTGTCGATTTTGGGTTAAAAATGTGAATTTGCTGCAATTACGGGTTAAAAACGAAAGTATGTTGTCATTTTGGGTTAAAATGTAAATTTGCTGCAATTACAGGTTAAAAACGGAAGTATGCTGTCATTTTGGGTTAAAAATGTAAATTTGCTGCAATTATGGGTTAAAAACGAAAGTATGTTGTCATTTTGGGCTAAAAATGTAAATTTGCTGCAATTACGGGTTAAAAACGAAAGTATGTTGTCATTTTGGGTAAAAAATGTAAATTTGTTGCAATTACGGGTTAAACACGAAAGTATGTTGTCATTTTGGGTTAAAATGTAACTTTGTTGGTATTTCGGCTCAATCCACAAAATACATGGTTTATATACTTTTTGTCAAAACATCCGTAAATCTGTTATTTCCATCCATAACACTTGTTGAGCATGCGAAATACCATCTATTATGATCAATAATCAAATACCATGAATGGATGTTTGGTTCATAAAAAATCGCATATATAAATACACAAT